CTCTCTCTGTTTTATTAACCCTCTACCATCTGTGTTCTATTAACCCTCTGCTTTCTGTGTTCTATTAACCCGTTACTGTGTTCTATTAACCCTCTACACTCTGTGTTCTATTAACCCTCTGTGCTCTATTAACCCTCTACTCTCTGTGTTCCATTAACCCTCTACTCTCTGTGTTCCATTAACCCTCTACCATCTGTGTTCCATTAACCCTCTACCATCTGTGTTCCATTAACCCTCTACCATCTGTGTTCTATTAAACACTCCACTCTGTGTTCCATTAATCCAATACTATTTGTGTTCCAATAATCATCTGCTCCTTGTGTTCTATCAACCTTCTACTCTGTGACCAATTAACTCTTCCTAGCTGAGTTCTTTTAACCTTCTACTGTCTCTACTGTTTCAATAATTCTCCACTCCCTGCGTTTCAAGAACACTGTACTCTGTGTTCCATAAAGCCTTTACTCTCCAGGTTCCATTAACCCTCTATTGTCGGTGTTCCATTAACACTGTACTTCCTCCAACACATTTTTTCTCTGCTCTCTGTGGTCCATTAACTCTAATTTTTCTGAGTTCCGTTAACCCTCTACTCTCTGTTTTCCTTAAACCTCTTGCTCTCTGTGGTTAACTGACCTCTCTACTGTTTGTGTTCCATTAAATCTCTATCCTCTGATCTAACTTAACCCTCTACTCCCTGTGTTCCATTAACCGTCTACTGTCTGTGTTTCATTAACCCTCAGCTCTCTGAGTTTTATAAACCCTCTACTCTCTGTGTTCAATTAACCCTATAATATCTCTGTTCCAATACTCTGTGTCCAATTAACTCTCTGCTCTCCGTGTTCTATTAACCCTCTACTCTCTGAGTTCCTTTAACCCTCAGCTCTATGTTTATCAATAACCAATTACTGTTTGTGTTCCATTAAATATCTGCTTTCTATTTTCCATTAACCCTTTACATTATGTCTTCCATTAACCCTATACTCTCTGAGCTCCATTAACCCTCTACTCTTTGAATTCCATTAACTCTCTGTGTTCTGTCTTCCAATACCCTCTGCTCTCCATGTTCCTTCACCCCTCAACTTTCTGTGTTTCATTAATCCTTCCTGACAAGTCAGTGCAATCCACCACGCACAGCACAGCAAGCTGCTTCTTTTCAAGGGCTGGGCAAGATGTTATTTTAAACCTCTTCTACAGTCTTTAGAAGATACTTCAAAGGGTATACCATTTTATTACAAATTGACAAACAGGCCTCAGATTATCACAGCAGAGTGTAATGGTAGCAATTCTTAGGGGCATTTCATAAAGCAGGTGAATTTTGCTTTTGCCTGGTACAAAATGGCAAATGGCACTGATTGCAAGAGTATTGGATGTTCCTTCCTTCCTTTTCAAAGGATTTTCCTTTACTTTCAGTCTCGGTGACAATGACTATCAGGACTAATAGGGTGAATCTCCTGTGCAAGGACACAGCAATAAATAATTAAACGGGGGTTCTAACCCTTCACTATCCTATCAAAAACAAGCAAAAATAATTTTGGCTTGCTAAGTAAACCATATTAAAAAATACAGAGAATGTTACTGAAATTTTGATTTCTCTTTGAAGAATAGAGAATCCAGATGTGCAGCAAACAAGGCTCAATCCAATGAGTTTGTGGGCAGTGAATGGGTTTTAAAATTACAGAGGAAAATCTGATGGCATTGAGGGGCTTATTCACTGCTTAATAAATATGCTGCTTAGTATTCTGAAGCAATAAAAAGCCACATTGCAATTGAAAGCATACATGGTGTGAAAAAATATAGGGCTGCTGACCTACTTATGATAATGCTGGTTGCCTGGCTGTTGTGCTGGCACACTAACATTAACACTTTATTTGACCTAAAGCAAGTATGCAGATACAGAAAATCAAAGAAAAATCATAAGGCCTTATCAGCATCTGCAGGACCCTGCTGTGACTGCTGTCCATTAAGCCAATTCACGTGGCTGTGTCAGATGGCATTCATGGAGGCATAGTGGGGAAAGGGGAAGGGGGGGGGGAGGTTTACTGAGGCCAGGGTGTCTATATATCTGCATATTTAGCCCTGTGTATGTTCAGCCACTGGGACCCACAGCACCATTGGTTGTAATCCTGCACCACAACATCCAAGGACGCGGCACTGCCTGGCTGCAAGAGCTGTGTGGTGCTAGACTTCCACAGTAATCAGCAGCCACCAGCCAGCTTGCAGTAAGGGACTGAGTCTGAGAGGAACACTGGAAGGAGCTGCAGCTCAGCTTCTACACCCCGGCATCTTCCTCTGTCCTTTCTTCATCTCCTCTGTTGCCCCTCCCCTCAGCTGAAGGCTCATTCATGACGTGGCAGCGTCCCACACAGAGAAAGTACCATTCTGTGCTGCACTCAGGTGCCCCTAGGTGGCAGTGTGCCCTAGGCTTCTTCTTAGTTTGCCTAGTGGAAGCACTGGCCCTGTGTGTGGCCACCAACACCCAGCACCAACAGGGTGAGGAGTGTCAAAATTGGCCACCTCAGGCGACATCCAGCATATGGCTGCAGACAGCCCTGCTTATCTGCATACGTATTCTGCATCAGTGGCCTAAAATGTTGTAGTTAAAATTACAGCCATGAATCTAATACATTTTCAGAAAGGGAGGTCAACCATGGTATTCTTGTTGTTATTTTTGTCTTTAATATAAAAAAAATTACATTTCCTTTTCAATCTGTACTTGCAACAATTTCTATAGACTGTCACAAAGTCTGTATTTTCCTGCTTGTGTGATTGTCTTACTACTTTTCTCAAGTAATCAAGCCAAATTTTTGGGGTTCAAGCCAAACACAAGCCAAATTTTTGGGGTTCCCTTGCAACAGGAGTTTAGACTACATACAAAAAAGGAAGTGCGATCAAGGAAAAATTTTTTTTTTTTTGTGCATTCCCATGCATCATGTTTAGTTTAACCCATTATTTTCAATGGGCTGCCATATGTAATGCACAAAAAAGGTGTCTGTGCCATCTTCAAAAGTACACCGCAATAAACCGCACGTCACATACTTGACATAGAAAACACATTGTTCTACTGGAGGAAAAGCAGCTTTTAGTTCATACTCCAAGATTTTTCCCACAAACCAGTGGAATGAGCTGGGAGCAGGCATGCTGTTTTCTATGGAAAGGAATAAAAGGGCCAGCATTAAATGGAAGGCACATTGATCATCCAACCCATAGGACTCTATGAGCAAAACTATCACTGCAGATAATGCTTTTCCAGGGTTCAAAAGGGTCCTGTCATAAGATGTAATACAATAGTCAGCAGCTGATGTCCCCGCTAGTGATGTTCTGGGAATAAGGGATCCTGTACTGCCAGTGCTAGACATTTATATCCCAAGTCACGCACTTATAGGTCGGTCTGGCTATAACACTGAGTAGTAGGGACAGCGCTCCCCGTCACCCATGCTGTATCTCTTATTCAACCCTGTGGATCTCTCTCTAGCAGATAACACATCATAGGAAGTTGTGGAATACACCATACTGGACTGCTGCTCTTAAAGAAACTATGTCCCTATTTTTATGCTTAAAAGAAGAAAACCATTCAAAGAAAACAATTAAAGAGAAATGAAAGCTTCATTTTTTTATGTTTTATAAATAACAAGCACGTTATACTCACCTGCTCTATGCAATGGTTTTGCACAGAGCAGCCCCAAAACTCTTCTTCTCAGGTCCCCCCCGTGTTCCTGACTCCTCCTCCTTGACCAGTTCCTCCAATAGCAAGCCACGTGCTATGGGGGCACTGGTGCATGCTTGTCCCCGAGCCCCATTCTATGCATCCAAAAGGCACATAGAGTTGGTAGGACTGCCACTCTTAAAGCAACTATATCCCTATTTTTAATATTAAAAGAAGCAAACCATTCAAAGAAAACAATTAAAGAGACATTAAAGCTTCATTTTCTTTATTTTTTTATTAATAACAAGCATGTTATACTCACCTGCTCTGTGCAATGGTTTTGCAGAAAGCAGCTCCGATTGTCTTCTTTTCATGTCCACCACCAGTGCTCCTGGCTCTTCCCCCTCGATCAGTGCCCCAATAGGAAGCCACTTGTTAAAGGGGCACTGGTGTGTCCTTGCTCCCAAGCCCTGCTCTATGCCTCCATAAGACACAGAGAGCCACAGCTCAGCCCCACCTCCCACTCTCTCCTCACTGGCTGTGATTGACAGCAGTTGGAGCCAATGGATCCTGCTGTTGTGTCTCAGCCAATGAGGAGAGAGAGACCCGGAACAACCAAGGCTCCCCTGCATATCACTGGATGGAGAGGAGGCTCAGATAAGTATTGGGGGGCTGTTGGGGGAGCAGCATATAGAATGCATGAAGGTAAAAAAAGCCTTTACAATCACTCTAATACTTAACTGTTCCACTACTACAGCGGTTCTCAACCTGGGGGTCGCGACCCTTTGGGGGTCGAACGACCATTTCCCAGGGGTCGCCTAAGACCATCGGAAAACATATTTCCGATGGTCTTAGGAACCGAGACACCGCTCCTGTCTCTGGCGATGTGTGGGCGGGATGATATGCTGCCCCTGTCACCGCCTCCTCGCCGCTGATTGGCCACCGGAACTGTAGCTCAGGAGAGGCACACAGGCGGCCAATCACCGGCGAGGAGGTGGAGCTTGGAGAGGAGGAGCCGAGCGGCAGCGCGCGGAGATCGAAGAAGATCGAGGGAGCTGCAGGAACGAGTGAAGAGAGAGGCCAGAGAAGGAAGACAGCTGACAGGTAAGTGCAAATTTTGCTGCTGCAGCCTGGTATGCAGGTTGTAGATGGGAGAGGGAGAGAGCGAGCCCAGGCTGGAGCAGGAGTCAGCAAGGTAAGTATCATTGGTGTCAGTGGGAGGGATAGTGCCCCATCATTTGTGTCACTAATACCAACGATGGGGCGCTATTCCTCCCCCCACTGACACCAACGATGGGGCGCTATTCCTCCCCCCACTGACACCAACGATGGGGCGCTATTCCTCCCCTCACTGACACCAACGATGGGGCGCTATTCCTCCCCCCACTGACACCAACGATGGGGCGCTATTCCTCCCCCCACTGACACCAACGATGGGGCGCTATTCCTCCCCCCACTGACACCCACGATGGGGCGCTATTCCTCCCCCCACTGACACCAACGATGGGGCGCTATTCCTCCCCCCACTGACACCAACGATGGGGCGCTATTCCTCCCCCCACTGACACCCACGATGGGGCGCTATTCCTCCCCCCACTGACACCCACGATGGGGCGCTATTCCTCCCCCCACTGACACCCACGATGGGGCGCTATTCCTCCCCCCACTGACACCCACGATGGGGCGCTATTCCTCCCCCCACTGACACCCACGATGGGGCGCTATTCCTCCCCCCACTGACACCCACGATGGGGCGCTATTCCTCCCCCCCCCACTGACACCCACGATGGGGCGCTATTCCTCCCCCCACTGACACCCACGATGGGGCGCTATTCCTCCCCCCACTGACACCCACGATGGGGCGCTATTCCTCCCCCCACTGACACCCACGATGGGGCGCTATTCCTCCCCCCACTGACACCCACGATGGGGCGCTATTCCTCCCCCCACTGACACCCACGATGGGGCGCTATTCCTCCCCCCACTGACACCCACGATGGGGCGCTATTCCTCCCCCCACTGACACCCACGATGGGGCGCTATTCCTCCCCCCACTGACACCCACGATGGGGCGCTATTCCTCCCACTGACACCCACGATGGGGCGCTATTCCTCCCCCCACTGACACCCACGATGGGGCGCTATTCCTCCCCCCACTGACACCCACGATGGGGCGCTGACACCCACGATGGGGCGCTATTCCTCCCCCCCACTGACACCCACGATGGGGCGCTATTCCTCCCCCCACTGACACCCACGATGGGGCGCTATTCCTCCCCCCACTGACACCCCACGATGGGGCGCTATTCCTCCCCCCACTGACACCCACGATGGGGCGCTATTCCTCCCCCCACTGACACCCACGATGGGGCGCTATTCCTCCCCCCACTGACACCCACGATGGGGCGCTATTCCTCCCCCCACTGACACCCACGATGGGGCGCTATTCCTCCCCCCACTGACACCCACGATGGGGCGCTATTCCTCCCCCCACTGACACCCACGATGGGGCGCTATTCCTCCCCCCACTGACACCCACGATGGGGCGCTATTCCTCCCCCCCTGACACCCACGATGGGGCACTATTCCTCCCCCACTGACACCCACGATGGGGCGCTGTTCCTCCCCCCACTGACACCCACGATGGGGCACTGTTCCTCCCCCCACTGACCCCACGATGACACTACCCCCCCACGACACCCACGATGGGGCACTGTTCCTCCCCCCCCACGATGGGGCACTGACCCCACTGACACCCACGATGGGGCACTGTTCCTCCCCCCACTGACACCAACGATGGGGCACTGTTCCTCCCCCCACTGACACCAACGATGGGGCACTGTTCCTCCCCCCACTGACACCAACGATGGGGCACACTGTTCCTCCCCCACTGACACCCCACTGACACCAACGATGGGACACTGTTCCTCCCCCCACTGACACCAACGATGGGACACTGTTCCTCCCCCCACTGACACCAACGATGGGACTATTCCTCCCCCACTGACACCAACGATGGGGCACTGTTCCTCCCCCCACTGACACCAACGATGGGGGACACCCTCCCACTGACACCAACGATGGGACACTGTTCATCCCACTGACATCAGTGATGGGGCGCTAGTCCTCCCACTGCAAAAAATTACAGTTATGAAGTAGCAACGAAAATAATTTTATGGTTGGGGGTCACCACAACATGAGGAACTGTATTAAGGGGTCGCGGCATTAGAAAGGTTGAGAACCACTGCACTACTAGCTGAATTGAAGAAAAAGGTTGCAATGCAGGAAAGAATGAATTGTTTGCTTTTTTTAATCCGTGTAAAAAAAAAAAAAAAAAAGGAATCATTACAGCATCCTTAAGAAGCTGGTCAAAGAGATTAGATGGTGGTCTTTTTTATTTTGAAAACTATTACCCCAAGCAAGAAAGTGTGTTCCCTGAGCAGGCAGCATCTGAATCCTAATAGCAACCTAATACCAGAACAATAGCAATTGGACCAGAAGAATCAACTTCTCTGACTGGTTTTCCCATCCTCATCCTCCCTACTGAGATCCTTTAAAGGAGAAGTATAGCCAAAGCTATTTCGGCTATACCTCTCCTACAAATCACTGGAATGCTATTTGTTCTGCACTCCTGTGACCCCGGTTTTCAGCTGACAGCAGGCTAAAGCCTGGACCGGCAGGTAGATCAGTCTCTCAGCCAGCCACTGAGAGTCCAAGCCAGCTCCTTCCATGTCCTCCAGAAGAGGAGCAGAGAGTGGGTGACCGACAGCCACAGCTCTCCGTTCAGAGTGGGGGGGGGGGGGGGTGGACAGGACAGAATGATCAGCGTTGTGTGATTGCTCAGTTCTTGGGCTATAGTGGGAGACAGATGCAGCTGGATGAGTATGATTTTTTTTTTTTAGATTCCCATACTTCTCTTTTAAATGTAGGTACCTGTTCACATGTGAAGGTATCTATAAGCTATGTGATTATACAGTTGACAATAGTCAACCCTCACTTAATTGTCTATTTATAAAGAATTTGCAAAGCTATTTATCTTGAAACTGCATGAACATTCATTTTGTGTGAATGGGGGCAAAAACAAATGTTATTTGGCTATTTTCTCTCCAGATCAAATATTTTTCATTCAAAAGAATAGCATGAATCTGGAAAATACCACATTATGGTCATGATCAAATAGAGCCAATGAGCATAAGAAATAAATACTTAAAGCGGAGTTCCACTCACTCTGTAAAAAAAAAATATGAGTTAGCAGTTACAATAACTGTAGCTGCTGACTTTTAAAAAAAAAACAGCCACTTACCTGTCCTTCGGTCCCATGGTGTGTGTCCCGCAGCTCATTTCACAGGCTGTCCTGTATTCCAGGAGGCCGGCATCTTCACTGTGGGCACCTGGCTGTGATAGCTTGTGGCTTCACAGCAGGGTGCCCACTGCGCATGCGCGAGTAGGAAGCTCTGTGCTTCCTGAATGGCCCCATTGTCTTCTGGGACCTGTCACGTGTCCCAGAAGACTATGGGGAGGGAGTGTAGGAGGACAAATTCTGCTTCCGATCGCCTAGGTGATCGCAGCGGAAGTGGGAGCGGGTACCTGTCAATTTCGGGTACCCCCCCCCCCCCCACTCCCCAAAGGTGCCAATCCTTAATGGTAAGTGGGGGAGCAATATTTAAAGCGGAACTTCCTCTTTTGGGTAGAACTCTGCTTTAATGTACAGCATGTGCTATGATCATGATCAGATCCATCTAGTGGCTATCATGCAGTATTTTCCTGATTCTCTCTATGAAGAGAAAAAAATGTCCTAATAACATTCAATTTTGTTCAGTCTTGCACAGAATAATATCCATGCAGTTTCACAGGATGATTGGCTGTGCAATTTTTTTTATAACTACACTGATTATTATCTATGAACATCTAGGTTGTGAGCAGTTTACATGCTTGAATGTTTACTTTTCTGATAAACTGCCTGTTATTCTGCAGAGCTGAACTGTTTCTGATTTGGATAGTAATAACTTACACACTTTTCCTTATTAAACACATTTTAAAAAACAGAGTGTCTGTGTGAATATTAATGGATACCCCCATGCTTGATGTCAGTCTGGTCTGGGCAAAGTTTCCCAAAGTCAGTTTACTCACCACTAGCAACAGATATGAATGTTAACATGCTTGTTGCAGCAAAGGAGCTCAATTACTAACAGTGGGGTATACCTATAATTTGCCTTTCTTTACTTTCATGCCCCGCAGGTAGCCATGTTTCCAACAGATTATGCACACTTTTACAGAACCTTTCATTGGCTGGCACCCAATATTGCCCTTTAAAGTGGTATTCCTTCACCCCTCTACGGCACCCACCACCTCCTCCTATTACTCCACTCTCCCACTGACCCGAACACCTCCACTAGTAGTTTCTCACGCTCCTGCACATCCCACTCCCATGCCACCTTTCTCACCCTTCTCTCCTCATAACCGCGGGGGACATCTCCCCGAATCCTGGCCCTCCACCACCTCCCTCACCCGCACAACACCCTCCCGCCTCCACGTCCCGCCGCAACCCCCGCAACTTAGTATCTGTCCCCCTGCTCCCTAAAATCCCCCCCCCTCTCCTGAATGCCCGATCGGTGTGCACCAAGCTTACCGCCATCCACGACCTCTTTGTTTCCCACTCCCTCAACCTCCTAGCGATCACAGAAACCTGGATCCAGCCCACTGACTCTACCTCTCCTGCTGCACTCTCCTACGGAGGTCTCACCTGGACCCACTCACCCAGGCCTAACGGTCGTAAAGGTGGTGGGGTTGGTCTGCTCCTGTCACCGCAGAGCACCTTCTGAGTCCTCCCAAACCCCCCCTCCCTATCCTTCTCCTCCTTCGAGGCCTACTGCGTCCGACTATTCTCCCCAACCCCCCTGAAGATTGCTGTGATATACCGGCCTCCTGGATCCATACCCCGCTTCCTGGATGACTTCTCCTCCTGGCTACCCTTCTTCCTCTCCTCTGAGCTACCCACCATCATCCTTGGGGATTTCAACATCCCTGTCAACCTCGACAACCCGGACACACAGCCCGTCTCCTCCATTTAACCTCCTCCTTTGCACTTGCACAGTGCATACTATCCACCACCCACTCTGACGGTAATATCCTTGATCTTGTCTTCTCCAACCGCTGCGCTCCCCACAACCTCACTAACACCCCCTTCCCTCTCTCTGACCACAACCTGATTACCTTCTCTATCTCCTCGTCCTCCAACGCCTACCCCTCCAAATGTCACACTACTACCAGCTGTAACCTCCGCAACCTTAACCCTGCCCCCCTCCACTCTGCAGCTGATCAACTCCACGACAGCATCCTCCCCCTGTCCTGCCCCGACTTGGCTATGACCGCCTACAACAACGCCCTCTCAACAGCCCTTGACTCACTAGCGCCTTTAACCACACGCAACATCAGACCCCGACCTCTCCAGCCCTGGCAGACTGATCACACCAAAACCCTCAAATGACACAGTCGCCCCTGGAGCGACTATGGCGCAAAACAAAATCCCAACAAGCCTTCACCCGCTACAAATCTGCCTTCCACACCTACACCTCCTCCCTCCACGCTGCCAAACAAGCCTACTTCTTGACCCTCATCAAGGCCCTCTCCTCCAATCCTCGCCGACTCTTCTCCACCTTCAACTCTCTACTCTCGCCACCCCCACCTCCACCAGCACCTCACTCACCACCCTTGAGATTGCCAATCACTTCAAAAACAAGACTGACACAATTCGCAAGGACATCGCCGCAACTCACACGCCCTCTCAACCCGTCCCCTCTCACACAGCTACCCCCTCATCCCCCCTCCCCCTCGACATAACCCACAGGGACTTCGTCGCTGCTCAAACTCCCTCCAACCCCCTTCCCCCTCACTCAGCTACCCCCTCATCACCCCTCTCCCACGCCCCCACCACTGCTCTGACCTCCTCTTCCACCCCACCCTACATTCCTCATACTGAAGCTCCCCCAACACTACGCACCTTTGACCTTACTATCATCGAGGAAGTCTCCAAGATCCTCTCTGATGCCCGCCTCACCACCTGCCCCCTCGGCCCTATCCCCTCACAACTCCTACGACCTCCCTCCCCCTCCATCCTACGCTCCCTCACCCACATCTTCAATCTCTCCCTCTCCTCCGGCACTTTCCCCTCCCCTCTGAAACATGCACACATCACCCCCATACTTAAAAAGCCCTCCCTGGACCCCAATGACCCGAATAACCTCAGACCCATCTCCCTGCTCCCATTTACATCTAAACTCCTCGAGCGCCTAGTCTACACCCGCCTATGCTCTCACCTCAACGACAACAACCTCCTCGATCCCCTACAGTCCGGCTTTTGTCCCCTACACTCCACTGAAACTGCCTTACTCAAACTCTCCAACGACCTGCTAACCGCCAAAGCTAATGGCCACCATTTAGTGCTCCTACTCCTTGACCTCTCTGCGGCCTTCGACACAGTTGACCACCCCCTCTTCCTCAAAAAATTACACTCCCTCGGCCTCAGAGATTCTGCTCTCTCCTGGCTCTCATCCTACCTGTCACAACGCTCCTTCAGCATTACCTATAATGCTACCACCTCCCTCTCACTCCCCCTCTCTGTTGGGGTCCCTCAAGGCTCTGTCCTCGGGCCCCTTCTCTTTTCCATCTACACCTCCTCCCTTGGCCAACTCATACACTCTCACGGCTTCAACTACCACCTCTATGCCGACGACACACAAATCTATCTCTCAACCCCCCCCACCTCACCCCCTCGGTCTCCGCCCGAATCACACACCGGCTGAGCGACATATCAGACTGGATATTGCTCCACTTCCTTAAACTGAACCTCTCCAAAACCGAGTTTCTTGTCTTCCCCCCAGCCCGGACA